TGCTTGTGCGGAGTCGTTCCCAATCGTCTTCGTCCTTTGACCTTTGTCCTCCTCCTCCTCGCGCCCTTCGTCCCGCTCCTCCTTCTCCTTCCCCCTCCTCCCTCTCCCCCTCTTCCTCCTCCAACTCTTCCTTCCCGTCCTCCTCCTCCTCCTCCTCCTCCTCCTCCTCCTCCTCCTCCTCCTCGTCCTCCTCCTCCTCTGGTCGCGTCCGAGCTCCCACCCGATGCTTCAGAATGGTGGGACCTCCCTGCGTTGACGGTGGAGGACATCAAGCATGCTATGTTGCAGTTTCCTTGGGCGACGGGAGTCGGCCAGTCCAGTTTTGCACCTCGCCGCTGGATCTTTCTCAGCCAGGCAAGTCTCGAGTCTTTAGCCTGCTGTTTGAGAGCCTGTTAAACTGGCCTTCGGGAAGACTCCTCGCGCAGCTCGTTCATTTGCCCGAACCCTCGGGGGGCGGTGCCGGCCTATTGCGCTTTTGAACAACCTCCTGAGGGTTTGTTGGCGGGCCACGGGGCCCACTGCGTCCCAGTGGGAGGCTGAGCACGACCTCGAATGCTTCTGAGGCTCAGAGGCAGGCAGGTCTTCGTCGGACAGTGTGTTCTCGTGGAATTTCGACGCTGAGGTAGCGCGCGAGGTAGGTGAGGATAGCCTCACGGTGTTCACAGATATGCTGAAATGCTCAGAAACTGTCATCCTGAGTAGTTTGCTTCATGGGGCCAGGTTGAGTCGGTTTCCTATGAGGCTAGCATGGATTACGATTCAAACCTGTCTCCAACCTCGGTGCCTCCGAGCCTTGCCTCCCTCTAAATACCCGCTCAGTCCAACCCAGGTATCCTTGCGGGCTGTTCCATGGCCACTACCATGCTGAGAGTGCTCCTGACGAAGAGCCTCAAGGACAGCATGACAGTGCATCCGTCGGTCAAGCCCAGAGCTCTGATCGATGATCTAAGTTTGCAAGGGGCGGGGGAGCGGGTGGGTGGGGGAGCAAGATGAACATGCCAGAGATCCGACTGACACTGTGCATGGTCTTTGCCTATCTGCTCAGCCGCTGGAGCTGATCGTTCAGCCTGCAAGTGTGGTTTTGTTGCTAACGCGGCGCGTGGACGAGACAGGATCGCGAGGCTGGTCAAGCCTGTGCACATCAAGGCCAGGAGAGCGATTCGTGACCTAGGGCGCGACATTCACGGCACTCGAGTGCTTCGCCTGCAGGAGAAGACACTACTGAAGAAGATGATGTCACGTAGGCGCAAGGTTTCGGGGCTGATGCACGCTGTGGGGAGGCGGTCAGCTTCCTTCGGAGGACTGGGCTGCTCCCGGCACGAGGTCACGGAGCAGTTGTGTCAGGAGTCTCTGACGCCGCGCTCCGTGACCTCCGCACCTTTTCGGGAGGCATGTGGGGCCAAACCCAAAGCGTCGCTCACCCTGTCTCGAGCCACGTAAAAGGACGACATGTTCGACCCTATTTTTGAGGCGACGGTTCCGATTGTTGTGAGGTTTGCTTCGTTTATCTGGGGCAATAGGGTCGCGCCTGGCCGCCTCCGAAGGGCTTGGGAGGCCGTCAGGTGTAGGTTGCAGAATCGTGCCTCGTGGACTGGGGCCCGCGGCCCCATCTCGACTGTTTGGGTCACGGTTCTGCGCGTGGGGTGGAATGTGATTTCCCCAGAGGTGCGTGTCGATGACAAAGGCAGCCGTATCAATTTGTGTAAGATTTGTGCAGCAGACGTGAAGGGTCTAGTCGAGGAGGGCCTTCGCCGCTGACAAGAGCCTCCCCAACAGCCCAGGAGAGCTGCGGAGGAGGGGCATGTGAAAGGCGGTGCCGTCGATTCCTAAGGCGGCGAGGCGCGGGGCCTTGCGCACGCCGTGGTCATCGGGGGTTTGGACTCCCGAGCGGCTGCATTCCATCGGGCTCCGCAGCACGCCGCAATGTTTCGTCTGCCAGCATACACTGGGCATCGAAGCCCAATAATGATTCGAGTGCGAAGCCATGCTGGGCGGGCTAGGTGAGCCAGAACCAGGCAGCATCCTCGAGCTGAAGTTTGCCATCAAGGCCAAGTTCTCTTCGCCTGCTGGTGTCGATCAATGTTATTTAAGCTTCGGGCTGCCGGCCCATGCCGTCGCCTCCTAGTGATGTATACCCTGTCTCGGGGTGGGGGGACTGGCGGGGGGCTTGGGGGCGGAGGGTCTTCACAGACGGATCGGGCCAGGCGTCACCGATCCCAGGGCTGACCAGATGCGGATGGCCGGTGGTCGATGTCGACGATTCTGGCATGGCTTTGAAGCCGATTTTTGGCGCCTTGCCAGGCATGGTGCGGACTGTGCCCAGGGCTGAGCACTAGGCTGCCTTCATGGCCATCGAGGTTGCGCAGAAGGCAGCAGTAGTTGCCTCAGATCATTTAAACTTGGTGCTTGACGGGATGGCTTGGTTGGCGGAGGCCACCACGTCCAGATCACGGCGCGCCTTTGTATGGGACCTGATTCGCAGGTTCCGCGCAGACGGGCCTTCTCCTTCCTTTGAGTGGATCCCTGCCCATCGTGAGCTCGAGGCTGTGATGGAGGCCCCAGGGTGTGACGTGTTTCGTTTCATAGGAAAGAGCGTGTTCTACCGCTGCTGGCGGAAAACCGGGGGGGGTCACTACCGGTTCGAACCCTCCCCCCCCCCCCTCCGGAAAACCGGGGGGGGTCACTACCGGTTTGAACCCCTCCCCCCCCCCAGTCACATGAAAAGGGGGGGGTCACTACCGGTTCGAACCCCCCCCCCCCCCCTCGAAAACAGAGGGGTCGAGTGGGGGTGCGGACAGTGGTGGGGACGGTGTTGGTGGGGACAGTGGTGAGGGGACAGCGGGACAGTGGTGGGGACAGTGGGGGGACAGTGGTGGGGACAGTGGTGAGGGGATAGCGGGACAGTGGTGGGGACAGTGGGACAGTGGGACAGTGGTGGGGACGGTAGTGGTGGGGACAGTGGTGGGGACAATGGTGGGACCAGGGGGGGACAGTGGACAGTGGTGGTGACGGTGGTGGTGGGGACAGTGGTGTGGGGACAATGGGAATGAGGTGGAAACAGTGGGACAGTGGAGGGTACAATGGTGGTGGGGACAGTGGTGAAGGCGGTGGCGAGGACGGTGGTGGGACAATGGGACAGAGGTACGGTGGGGACAGTGGTGGGGACAGTGGGGACAGTGGTGGGAACAGTGGGACAGCTCAGAGGGACAGCGGAGGAGTCAGTGGGACAGTGGGGACAGTGGGGATAGTCGGGCAGTGGTTGGGGCCGTGGAGACAGTGGGGAGAGTGGAACCGTGGTGGGAACAGTGCTGGGGACAGCGGGGACAGTGCGACAGTGGTGGGGCCACTGGTGGGGACAGTAGGGGCGGTGGTGGAACCAGTGGGGACAGCGGTGGTGAGGACAGTGGTGCTGGGAACACCCGTGGGGGATGTGATGCGGACGGTGGTGGGGACCGGGAGTCGTTTGCTGGCGGTGAGTAGGGGGGGGGGGCGGGGGGGGGGGGGGGGCGAGGTGGGGAGGGATTCGAACCGGTAGTGACCCCCGGTTTTTCGGATACGGAGGGGGGGGGGGGGGGGGGGGAGGTGTTCGAACGGTTAGTGGGACCCCCCCCGGTTTTCGACGCGGGGGGGGGTGGGGGGGGGGGGTTAAGGGGACGGGGGGGGTTTTTGCCGGGGATGTAGTGGGGGGGGGGGGGGGGGAGGGGTTCAGGCAGGGGGGGGGGCGGCGGGGGCGATTTTCGGAGGCGGGGGGGGGGGAGACCCCCGGGTTCCGGAGGAAAAGGTTGGCAATTTTCCACAGTAAAGCGGCGGTGGATCACGCTCTCTCTTTCATAGGGAACGGGTGGGCCGACTTCTTCGCCAAGAACGGAGCTCTTTCTCACGCGCCAGCCCAAGTCTTGCAGGATTTCCACAAGCAGAGTTTGACAGCAGCCAACGACCACTCGAGTGTGTTCGCCTGGATGGTCCAGGCTGCTGCTAAGAAGACGCTAGAGCTCCAGCCGTGTGAGGGGACACGGTCGAACGTTGGTCGAACCGTGCCTCCCCCCAAGCTTGCGCTGGACTCTCATGATTGCAGATTTTGGTGAGCGGTCGGCCGAACACAGCTGTTTGAATTTCGAGCGATTCGCGAGGACTCGTGCATCGACCAGAGCTCTGCGAGCCAGGCCATGTACCCCAAGCGAGCTGCAGGAGGCGACGGCGGCCCGATATCTTTCTCTCATCCCAGAGTCCTATCAGCATGTGTCGGAGGCGGTGGATGCCGCGATGCGCGCTGCAGCTGCCTTCGAGGAGGGCCATGACCCTCCCACCGAAGGCCAAGTCTGCGGGGGTGGTGGTCGGGTGGACGTCGCCGCCGTCGGGGTCGATCTGGAGGTGGAGTTGTGTACCGAATTCGGGCATAGTGCTGAGAGGTTTGGAGCCGCAGTCATCTGACTCAGCTGTGGTGCGTATAGCGTGGCTGGAGGGCCGCAACCCGAAGCCTCGGGCCGCGTGCAGGGGGGCATGCGCGGGCTCCATCCGCGCATTGGGGCCTCTCGCCCATGACCCCCCTCGACGCGAGGTCTCCACCGTCGGCCTCCCGACGAGGTGGGGGCACAGCTGTTGAGGGTACGCTGCGCGTTGCGGTGGTTTCTGGCCCCGCAGCGCAGCCCTCTTCTTTTCATTGCTGAGGCGGGTCCGCACGCTCGGACTCGTTCTTCATCGCTGGCTGCCTCATCCTCCTCTTCCTCCTCCTCTTTCTCTTCTTCCTCCTCCTCTTCCCCCTCCTCCTTTCCCTCTCCTCCTCCTCCTTCTCCTCCTCGTCCTTGCCCCCTCCACCTCCTCCTTCTCCTCCTCCTCCTCCTCCTCTTCCCCCCTTGTCTTCCTCCTTCTCCTCCTCCGCCTCCTCGTCTTTCTCCTCCTCCTCCGCCTCCTCCTCCTTCCCCACCCCCCCGCGTTGACGTCGGCTCGTGGGGGGGTCGCGCCTTGCCGTTGGCTGCCCGACCCGACCCGGCGGCGGAGAGGCCTGTCTCCTGCTACTTCGGCCACAGCGACATCGTCAGGTGCATCGCGCTCTCCCCCTGCGAGACCTTCCTGGCCCGCAGTCGCCGCCGCCCTCTGAGCGCGGATGCCTCCACGAAGGGAGGGGTTCTTGGAAGAAGAACGAACGAATTCGCTAGACCACCTCAGCCCAAGGGGGCTAATGGGATTATAGCTATGGTGGTGGTGACGGTGGAAATTCGGAGGTGGATGAGGATCAATCTAATGATGACTGTAAGGGTGCTGACGATGACGATGACGCTGACGATGATGATGACGATGACGATGTCGATGACGATGACGATGATGACGATGATGGTGATACTGCTGATAATGATGCGGATGATGATGATGCTGATTATGCTGCTGATGCTGATGTCGCGATGATGATGATGACGATAATGCGGATGACGCTAATGATGATGATGATGATGATGATGATGATGATGATGATGATGATGATTATGATGATGATGATGATGATGATGATGGCGATGATGATGACGATGATGCTGATGATGATGATGATGCTGATGATGATGCTGATGATGATGACACTGATGGTGATAATACTAATGCTGATGCTGATGGATATGTCGATGCCGATGCCGATGCCGATGATGCCGATCACGGTGATGACAAGGATGACGAGGAAGATGCTGATGTTGATGTTGATGCTGATGCTGATTATGATAATGATGATGCTGCTGATGATACTGATACTGATCATGATTATGACAATGCTGCTGCTGATGATGATGATGATGATGATGATGCTGCTGCTGATGATGATAATGATGCTTGTGATGATGCTGATGATGCCTACGAGGAGGAAGAGGAAAAGAAGGAGGAGGAAGAGGTGGGTGAGAAAGAGAAGTAGGCTCAGGAGAAACAGGAACTTGTAATGTTGAGGGATGCCATGCTTTTAGTTATGACGCTCCCCTTCTGGTGCTGGTTCAGGGGGGGAGGGTCAGGGGGGGAGGCATGGAGGGATAGACGAGGGAGGGCGGGACGACCCGGGCGGAGCAAGGGTGACACGGGCTGGAGGGGTCTTAGGGAGGCGGCTTTGTTGGCCGCTTTTGCCTCTCCATAGGCTCTCAAGGGTCCCTCTTGGTTTCCTTTTGGAGCCGCCGGAGGAAGAGGACCCGTGACGATGAGGATGAGGTGTGAGCAGGGAGGGCGAGAGGGGAGCGAGGGAGGGAGGGAGGGAGGCAGCTGCCGATGGTGGTGGTCGCGATGACGACGACCACGATTTCGACGACGACGCATTACGACGACGACGACGTCTGCGAGTGAGAGCAATGCTTATTGTAGAAAGACATTTCACCCATACGAATCTTACCTCCTAGTGAACATGACGGCGCTGGTGAGGATGAATCTGATTTATGATGATGATGCTGCTGATGCTGATGCTGATGCTGATGCTGATGCTGATGCTGATGCTGATGATGCTGATGATGATGATGATGATGATGATTAGGATGAGGTTGCTGCTGCTGCTGCTGATGTTGTTGCTCTTGCTTTTGATGATGATGACGGTGATGGCCGTACTGATGACGACGACGATGTTGGTGAAGAGAACGCTGATGATGATGGTGGTGCTGCTGCTGATGATGACGATGGTGGTATTGGTGGCGATTCGGAGATTGATCATGCCAGTGATGTTGAGGGTGGTGATGCTGATGATGATGCTGCTGATGATGAAGATGATGGTGGTAATGATGATGATGCCAACTCTGATACAGATGATGGAATTGATGATGATGGTGATGATGCTGACGATGCTGATTCTGAACATGATGCTGGTGATGACGACGATAAAGCTGATGATGATTTTGATGATGCTGATGCTGCTGATGATGATGTATACGAAGATGAGGCTCATGCTGACGGTGATGATGGTGATGATGCTTCTGCTGATGATGCTGATTATTCTGCTGATACTGATGCTGATTCTGATGATGATGCTGATGATGAAAATGCTGATGATGATGCTGATGATGATGCTGACGATGATGATGATGATGATGATGATGATGATGATGATGATGCTGATGCTGATGGTGATGATGATGATGCTGATGATGATGATGCTGATGATGCTGATGATGACTATTATTGTTATGATGCTTATGATGCTGATGATTATGATGATCATGCTTTTGTTGATGAGGATGATGATGATGCTGACGATGTTGATGATGCTGCTGGTGACGATGCTGAGTTTACTGCTGCTGATGATGATGCTGATGATGATGATGATGCTGATGATGACGACGATGATGATGATGATGATGATGATGATGAGGATGAGGATGAGGATGAGGATGAGGATGAGGATGGGGTATGAGGATGATGATGAGATGAGGATGAATGATGATGATGGGCGATTGATGTGATGATGATGATGATGATGATGATGCTGTATGAGATGATGATGCTGTGCTTGATGATGATTGTGCTAGATGCTGATGCTGATGCTGATGCTGATGATGATGATGATGATGATGATGATGCTGATGATGCTGATGCTGATGATGATGATGATGATGATGATGATGATGATGATGATGATGATGATGATGCTGATGCTGATGATGATGCTGCTGATGATAATGCTGATGCTGATTCTGTTGATGATGCTGGTGATGAAGATGAGCAGGCCACCTCTGCTTTCTCCGCCTTCCCTTGTCCCTCCCCCTCCTCGCCTTGCTGGCGCGCGTGAGGCCTCTGGGACAGTGGGTGGCAGCGTCCGCCTGTGGATGTCCGACCAGGGCCAGCTGCTCGGCAACAGGCTGGCGAACTTGCTTCGCGAGGCGGCCGAGTCCAGAAAGGCTGCAGCGTGGGAGAGGAGGGGCCGGGAGGAGGAGGAGGAGGAGGAGGAGGAGGAGGAGGAGGAGGAGGAGGAGGAGGAGGGGGGGGAGGAGGAAGAGGAGGGATTAGGGTGGAGGGATGAGGGATGAGGGAGGAGGAGGAAGAGGAGGAGGAGGAGGAGGAGGAGGACGAGGAGAAGGAAGAGGAAAAGGTTGCGGAGTCCTACGTGGTGCTGAGACTCTTCGGATCAATACCGGGTAGTTGGGGGGGAGGGGCGTAAAGTGAATGGACAATTGTCCGCCTTCGCTCTCTCTCTCTCTCGCTCTCTCCTGCTCTTTTATCGCGTTGGCAGGTGCATTGATGTATTTAACCGCATCTCTCCTTCTCGCTCGTTTCATTAATGGCTTTTAGCTCTGCCTGCGGACCACCGTTG